CCTGGGGGTGCGGAGCCTGAGGGAGCTGGGCCTGCTCGTGTGGCGTCTGGCGGTGCTGAGCCTGGAGGTTCTCCGGGTGCTTCGTCTCGGCGGGAGCCACTCTCTCCACAGGAGCTGCGCGAGTGGTTTGCCCGGCGCTGGAGGCGTGCTGCTGGAGCTGGAGGTTCTTCGGCTGCTGAGGGTGCTGGTGCCGCGGGTCCCGGAGGTGCTCGTACTGGGAGTACTGGAGCTGCTGGGCCTGCGGGTACGACTGGAGCTGGAGCTGCTGAGGGTGTTGGCGCTGAGGCTACTGCTGTCGGTCCTGGAGGCGGTCCTGCTAGGGGTGCTGGAGCTGGAGGTACTGCTGGCGCTGGTGCTGCCGCTGGGGGTACTGGTGCTGTCCCTGCTGTGTCTGGAGTCGCCACACGGCCTAGGCCGTACTTCGTTCCGCTCCTTCAGCAGGTTCTTGGTCTCCCGCCTTCTACTGGTCCTCCTCCTCCCTTAGAGTGTCCACAGCCTGTCCCGTCACAGTTACAGTTACAGCCGGCCTCCCCACTGCCCGCTCCTTCTCCCTACACTGGTCCTACTGGAGGTCTTGCTGAGCGTCGTGAGCCTGCGTCTCGCCCTGCGTCGCCTGTCCGTGCTGCTCGCACTAGTGCTCGTGGTTCGCGTCAGCGTCCTCCTCCTGTCCCTGGCACGCACCGGATGTCTCTGCGTCCGTCCACTGCTCCTCTGCATGCCCCTTTGCCTTCTCCTCCTGAGTCCTCTCTTCCTGCTCTTCCTGACCCGGAGTCGGACTCTCTTCGTGCTGCCAGTCCTACTGTCACGCGTCTCCTTGCTACTGTTGTCACTGACCCTTCCTTTGAGTCCACTGCTGCGTCTGCCCTAGTTACTGAGCTCGTCGACTTTGCTGCTCGCTGTCGTCTAGACTACGCTGCTAGTCTTGTTGCTGAGTCTGAGTCTGTCTGTCCTCCGTCCGTCGGGGGTGAGTGTGCCCTTGGCACGGACGTCCTTGAGGACAGGCAGGAGGAGTTCCAGTGTTTGGCTGCTGCTTCACCTCATCTCGTGTCCGTACTGCTTACCCCTGAGGGAGACCCGGATGCACTTGACATCCCGACTCCGCGCTCTTACGCGGAGGCGATAGAGGGTCCCTACTCCTCTCAGTGGCAGGCAGCTATGGACGCAGAGATGGCTTCCTGGAAGTCCACAGGCACCTACGTTGACGAGGTTCCCCCGCCTGGGGCGAACATCGTCAGTGGCATGTGGATTTTCAGGGTGAAGCGGCCGCCGGGTTCTCCGCCTGTCTTCAAGGCGCGTTACGTGGCTCGTGGCTTCAGTCAGCGGCAGGGAGTTGACTACTTTCAGACCTTCTCTCCCACCCCGAAGATGACCACTCTTCGGGTACTGCTGCACGTAGCTGCTCACCGTGACTACGAGCTACACTCTCTTGACTTCAGCACTGCTTTCTTGCAGGGCAGCCTGCACGAGGAGATCTGGCTGCGTCGCCCACCTGGCTTCACTGGGTCTTTTCCTCCTGGCACCCAGTGGAGCCTACGGCGGCCAGTCTACGGTCTCCGCCAGGCACCGCGTGAGTGGCACGACACACTGAGGACTACACTTGCGGCTCTTGGGTTTGCTCCCTCTACTGCCGACCCGTCGCTGTTTCTGCGCACCGACACTTCTTTGCAGCCGTTCTACATCCTCGTGTACGTCGACGACTTGGTCTTTGCCACAGCTGACACTGCTGGACTCGCCCACGTGAAGTCCGAGCTGCAGAAGAGACACACGTGCACAGACCTGGGTGAACTGCGCAGCTACCTTGGCTTGCAGATCACCCGGGACAGAGCACGCCGCACCATTACCCTGACTCAGTCACACATGGTGCAGCAGGTCCTTCAGCGCTTCGGCTTCACGTACTCCTCGCCTCAGGCCACTCCTCTGCCTACTCGCCACTCACTCTCAGCTCTGCCTTCGGATGAGTCCGTAGAGTCGAGTGGCCCGTACCCAGAGCTTGTTGGCTGCCTCATGTACCTGATGACCTGCACACGACCTGACCTTGCATACTCTCTTAGCATTCTTGCACGCTATGTTGCTCCTGGGAGACACAGACCGGAGCACATGGCTGCAGCGAAGAGGGTGTTGCGCTACTTGTGCAGTACGTCGGGCATGGGGCTTGTGCTTGGAGGGCAGGGTCCAGTGGTCCTCACTGGACATGCAGACGCTTCTTGGGCTGACGACCAGGCTACGCAGCGGTCGTCACAGGGTTACACCTTCAGCCTTGGTTCCGGCTCTGTTTCGTGGCGGGCTACTCGCTCGTCTTCTGTTCTCGGCTCCAGTTGTGAGGCTGAGATCTACGCCGGGGCCATGGCTGCACAGGAGCTTCGCTGGCTCACCTACCTGCTGACTGACCTCGGAGAGCCGCCTCGTTCTCCTCCAGTGCTCTACGTAGACAACAAGGCCATGCTGGCCTTGTGTCGAGAGCAGAGACTGGAGCACAGAACGAAGCACATTGCTCTTCGCTACTTCCTTGCTCGTGAGCTACAGCAGCGTGGTCAGCTGCGACTTGCGTACGTGGCCTCTGAGGCCAACACTGCTGATATCTTCACCAAGGCACTTGCGCCTTGTGATCATCAGCGCTTCTGTACTCAGCTGGGTCTTGTACCTACCTTGCCTCACTTGCTCACCTCTTGACCTTGTTTGTACTGTTGCATATATATATACTCCTGCTCTTGCTTGTCTAGCCTTATATATATATGTAATCCTGCATGTGAACTGGCCTTGTGGCCTTGAACTTGTGCTCGGAATGTGTGGTGACTTTGTGATCCACCCTGAGCTTGCTTTGCTTTGCTTGACTGGTCTTGTGACCCCTTGTTCTCCCCCACTTTGCCTATGGGGGTGTGTCAGAGTTATATGACATAGCTACTGTAGGCTATAGTGGGGTAGCACATATGGGGTACAGTTGCCTAGGGTTTGCCTTTTGTACCCAACTTTCACTTAGTCATTTCATTCCTGTTTTCTTGATTCACAGTTATCCCTGCTGGCTGCACCTCGGAGATTCAACCCCTCGACGTCGCGGTTAACCGCTCCTTCAAGGCCGCCGTTCGCCAGCTCTACTAGGAGTGGTTTGAGCAGACGGTTTCTTCTGCAACAACGTAGAGGAACCTGAGTCGGACTCTGAGGCCGACCCAGATGACCCCACTGCAGCTGATGGTTAGAGTAGGGTTGACGTGTAGAAAATGGTGAAGCCTGTGTGAGGCTCGTAGGTAGGAGTAGATTAACTAATAGTAGATTAATTAAGATGATGTTTTAGTAGATTAATTATGTAAAAAGTCTTAAAATGAAAAAAAAAAAAAAAAAACCGGGTGGCGGTTATAAAGTGTAAGGCACAGGTATGCGGTTATAATCCGTAAGCCTTTTAGGTATGCGCTTATAATCGAGCACCGGATATAAGCGCCACACGCCAATTAAAAGCGCCACGCGCTTATCCGCGGGTGGCGCTTATATCCGGGGTATGACGGTAGCTCGAGTGGAGCGCCACTGAGGACCGAAGCCTATGATAGCGACAGTGACGAAAGCTTCTTTGGATATTGATCCGCCGCATCGAAGGAGTCTATCGCGCAGTCCGCGACAGCGACTAATATATGCCATCCCCTTTTCGCCCGTTTGCGTTTGAATCGCTGTCAATTGCGCCATGAGACGACTTTGATTGACGCTGTCGGTTGCTTGATACAGGTTCTTCAGGTGGTTGAACGCGAGCTCGGCGGAGTTACCGTATCCGCAATCAGATCGGATGTTCTACTGCTCGCAGGAGTATAATGTATGCCATGAGTGACTGATATGTGTATTGCTGCTTGTCGTACTGTGTCCCGTGCGTTGGATATGGCAGGGAACCGTCGAAGAAGTCAAGGATTTGGGCGCCCTCCATCATACCGTCATCGCCCGGATATAAGACTGTTGAATAGTAGACAGGGGTTGTCTACTATACGGGTGTCTCTTATAAACAGGCTAGCCTTTTTATACGACACCTATTTGTGTGTACGAGATAAGACATATGTGTCTTATAATCGAAACTGCAATGTATTATAGTGAGAATCGAAATACCGCGCACATTTTTACCCTTGCGACACACGAATTCTGCCACGTGCTGACTCACATACTACCAAATTTGCCTCTGCAAGTATTCGGGATGACGTGGCGTCCCGAACAATGGTTGCCTAAGTGGCACCTTCGCAACATCCACACTCTTAATGAGAAACTCTTTTCAAGATGCGTGAAAATATTTCTAAGTAGTTTAAAAAAGTTTCCATTTATAAGACTTATAAGACACCCAAAACCTCCCCAAATACAAGATAACCCAAGCATTTTTTTTTAGTGTATGAGATAAGACATATATGTCTTATATCCGGGTGATGACGGTATGCTCGAACTCAAAGGACCAACCTTCAATTACTCCAACAATGTCCATCTGGCGAATCCCGAGGACAATTTATCAGCCCCCGTAGATGGTATAGGGGGGATAGGCACTGCCTTGTTAGCGGGGCTCACGCCTCCCAAGCCTACAGTTACCGTACGCCTGCAGATGTACCTATGTTTAATAATAATTGTACATCCAACAAAAAAAAATCACGGACTGCGGATGTGAAGAGTCAAACAATCAGGGTCCCGCCTATGGTCCTATGAACCCGTGCTGTGTCCAGTCTGCTGCGAATTCGCACCTGATCGGCAAGCTAGGATGGAACAACACATGGGCGGTTAGTGCTTGCCTAGCTGGTTAGTGCTTCACTCCGCTTTCGTCAGGCCACCAGTGGATTCGCGCTGCCATTCCCGCAGCCGTCGGCGTCACGAGTCCACCCGCCATGGCCGCAGCAAGTGTCAGCGCTGCGATTCCAATCATTCCCGATGCGGAACAGATCCACTCCGCCCATTCGTACTCGAGCGATTCGAGCGGCTCGAGCCGTTCGAGCGATTCCAGCGAATCGAGCGACGCGCGACCAGCTGCGACTGATGCGAGTCACGGCGACATGCGACAGGAGTCAACGTTTACGACTGACAGCGACTCCGCTGTCGCCGGTACGTCGTGTGCGGCGCCTGCGACGGCGTACGAGGCGCGGCGACTGGCGAAGGTGCGTGAGACGCAGCGACTGGTGGCGGAGCTGCGGATGGAAGCGGACGAGCTGAAGCGGGCCGCACGGCAGCAGCACACGTTGGCGAAACGGCAAAAGACGTCAGCGCTTACGTCACCCGTGGAGACCGTCGGTTTACGGCGGCGGTCCAGCAGGTAGTGGCGGAGGCGCCGGGGGGTTATGAGGAGCGCGTGAGGGATGAGGCGCGCGGGAGGGATGAGGCGCGCAGGGACTTTGAGGCGGGTGGGGGACAAGCGAGGTGCCGCGCTGATGGATGCCCGGCATTTGTGAGGTGGCGATTCGGGAGGAGGGAAGGAGCGGCGGTGGCAGTTGGCCGCGTGGCTGCATGAGGGAAGGAATGCCATGGCCTCCCATTGCTGCCCCATCGCTGCTCCCTCCATCATCCCTCATGCCCTCTCGCCCCTCATGCCCTCTCGTCCCACTTTTATCCTCACCTGCCCCCCTACCGCTGCTTGTCTTGCCCGCCCTACCCCTGCCACCAGGGCCGTGGGGCGAGTGGACTACTGTGAGACGCGCCGCCCCCTCGCACCCGCCACGCCCGCCAGGCCGCCCGCCCCCGGCGCTGCAGTGGGTGCACGCGGCGCACTGCACGGCCGCCATGGCGGTGGCGGCAGCCCACGCGGCAGCACGGGGGGGCCGGGAGGTGGCAGCAGCGAGGGGGGCGGCGGTGGCAAGCAGGGCGCGGGTGTGCTGGTGTGGGTGCCACGGCGCTTCTTCCCTGGCGGGGGCAGTGCTGTGCAGCAGCTGTGGGGGCAGCGGGAGCGGGGAGAGGCGGGTGAAGAGGGAGAGGAGGTTGCAGGGAGGGGGCGAGTGCAGCAGTACAAGTGGGAGGAGTGCGGTGGGGGAGGGGCAGAGAGGCGAGCAGCAGGCGGCACGCGGAGGGAGGTGGCGGATGACAGCGGCGTCGTGGCGGTGGGGTGGAGGGCCAGGCCGTTCCTGTGCCGCGTGGCGACGGCATGGCAGCAGGGGGGGGAGGCGAGGGGGGTGGTGGTGGGCAAGGGGGGAGAGGGTGGCGAAGGGGAGCAGCTTAGGTGGAGAGAGCAGCAGGGGAGAGGCGCAGAGAAAGGAGAGGAGGACAAGGAAGGGCGGGCAGGCAGTGAGGGGCTGGTGTGGGTTCCCAAGCCGTTCCTCTGGGGTGCGGTGGGGGTAGTGGAGGTGGCAGTGCGGCACGGCACAGTGCAGCACGGTGGAGTGGGGGGAAGTGCAGAACAAACAGCTGTGCACAGGCAAGTGCGGGTGGTGTTGCAGAGGCGAGGGCATGAGCGTGAGTGCAGTGGGGCAGATGGCGAGGAGGATGGCGGCGGTGACACCAGCAGCGCCGCATGCAGGGGCGCGGCAGGCAGCAGCAACGGCGGGGAGGGACGGTGCAGCCCTGAGAGGGGGCCAGGCGGGGCAGGCAGGGAGGCGGGGAGGGAGGGCAAGGGGCGCGAGTGTGCGGTGGTGTGGGCCTCGCGGCACTTCCTCACTGCCGCTGGCGCCCGCATGCTGCCCTGGCAGGCGGTGGGCGCGGTGACTAAGGGGGACCAAAGTACACGAGGGGAAGGGCAGAGTTCAAGAGAGGGAGGAAACGAGGGGGGGAAAGGCAATGGTAGGCTGCTGTGGGCGCCGAGGGATTTCGTTTCCAATGGAGAGTCTGTGGTGCCGCAAGCAGGGGGGAAGTCACAGAGAGGGGAGGCACAGGGAAGGGAGGCACAGGGAGGGGAGGGTGAGGCGCGGCACAGGGAAAAGAACATGGAGGACGATGGGGCTGGTGGTGGTGATGGTGGTGGCGGCTTCATGCAGCGCAGGCGTGAAGAAGCCATGCATGTCCGGCACACAGTGGACGATGAGGCCGGGCCTCGAGGGGCTGTGGGCGCGTGGGAGAAGCGCAGGGAGGGGTGCGATGAGCAGCGCAGGGAGGGGTGCGATGAGCAGCGCAGGGAGGGGTGCGATGAGCAGCGCAGGGAGGGGTGCAATGAGCAGCGCAGGGAGGGGTGCGATGAGCACGGCTTCCGCTTGAGAGACAGCCGCACGTGGCGCTACTGCCACCAGTGCAGGTGAGTGTGGTGCCACCAGTGCAGGTGAGTGTGGTGCCACCAGTGCAGGTGAGTGTGGTGCCACCAGTGCAGGTGAGTGTGGTGCCACCAGTGCAGGTGAGTGTGGTGCCACCAGTGCAGGTGAGTGTGCTGCCACCAGTGCAGGTGAGTGTGGTGCCACCAGTGCAGGTGAGTGTGGTGCCACCAGTGCAGGTGAGTGTGCTGCCACCAGTGCAGGTGAGTGTGGTGCCACCAGTGCAGGTGAGTGTGGTGCCACCAGTGCAGGTGAGTGTGCTGCCACCAGTGCAGGTGAGTGTGCTGCCACCAGTGCAGGTGAGTGTGCTGCCACCAGTGCAGGTGAGTGTGCTGCCACCAGTGGAGGTGAGTGTGCTGCCACCAGTGCAGGTGAGTGTGCTGCCACCAGTGCAGGTGAGTGTGCTGCCACCAGTGCAGGTGAGTGTGCTGCCACCAGTGCAGGTGAGTGTGCTGCCACCAGTGCAGGTGAGTGTGCTGCCACCAGTGCAGGTAGGTGAGTGTGCTGCAAACGAGGGTGTTGACAACCTTGGTGTGGCGGCGGAACATTCTTCAAAGCCTGTCCACAGTCACTTGTCCGCGTAGGGGAGCCTGGCTGTGGTGAACGCGGAGGGGATGCGAATGGGAAGAGCGTTGAGTGGAGCAAAGCTCAGCGTGACCACGAGGAAGATTAGGCACGCGGCATCAAAGCCGTTTGCATTGGGAGAAAGAAGATGCGTGTCATGGAAAGCAGGGTAAGCATTATATGGCATAGCGTGAGTCTCCTTGGTAGCAGTGCCTAAGTTGTGTTGCTGCTGTGGACCATGCGGCCAAGGCTGCTCTTTGCTGGCAGTTGCGGGCATCAAGCATCTTGAGCTGCAGCGTGCCGCTGAGCCCGCACCCAGTGCTCACCGCAACAACAGGTGGGCTCGCCAGGAATCAAGAGATGCGACCAGACGGCCTGCAGAAGCAGTTTGCGGTGATGGGGGAAGGAGTTGCTGTGTTAAACGAGAGTCAATGGGGTGAAGGACTGGTTGAGGCAGTGGTGGGACGGAGATGGCAGCGGGACATCCAAGCATCGTCTCTCTGCCGCCCCTCGCCATGCTCCTCCCTTCCACTGCCTTCTTCATTGTATCGCCTCTCCCCATCCTGCTTCCCCATATTTCCTTCCCAATGCTCTTTGTAGAGCCCCCCTTCCTTACATCACCCCTCCCTGCTATTTTCTTTTACGTCCCCTCACATGCCCCTGTCACATGCCCCCCTCACATGCCCCCGTCACATGGCCCCCGCACATCGCGGCACCTATCAGAGCCATGACAACGGGTCGCACCACACGCTGTACGGCGTGCCGGGCGGGGAGGAACCAGGTCTGCGCCGACTGCCTCCTTTCCAGGTACCCTTGCCGCTCTAGTGCCTCCTTTCCAGGTACCCTTGCCGCTCTAGTGCCTCCTTTCCAGGTACCCTTGCCGCTCTAGTGCCTCCTTTCCAGGTACCCTTGCCGCTCTAGTGCCTCCTTTCCAGGTACCCTTGCCGCTCTAGTGCCTCCTTTCCAGATACCCTTTCCATCATTGCCATGCAGCGCATCATTGCCATGCAGCGCATCAAATGTTGCCACAATTGCCGCTACAGTCAAGTCTTTAACGTATACCTTCCATTGCCACCTTGCCTCTACTGATTGGAATCGCCTCCGATTGCCACTATGGCCACTTGTTTCAAGTATTGGCACATCTTACCACATACTGTTACGTACTATCAGATATTGCCACATTTCTCACACATACTTGTTGCCATGCTGTTACGTAGACACATTGTCACGCATTGATGACGATGCCATGTGCTGCCCCGCCGCACCTACACATGCACTTTTAGGTACCGAGAGAGCATTTCGGAGGCACTGGCTGATTCCAAGTGGCAGTGCGTGGTGTGCCGAGGCATATGCAGCTGCAGCTTGTGCAGGGCGAAGGAGGGGCAGGAAGCAACAAGGTCCATGTAGCGGTAAGTGGTGGAACCATATGGCCACTCACAGCAATCACCCTTGCTCTGAGGTATTGCCTGGATGGACAATCAACCACCCTTGCTCTGGCATCATGCTCATGCCTCTTCCTCTCACATGCACTTGCCTCTGCACCTTGACTCACTGCCTCTCACCTGCCGTCTTTCTCATGCATGGCTGTGCCCGTCACCTGCCGTCTTTCTCATGCATGGCAGTGCCTGTCACCTGCCGTCTTTCTCATGCATGGCAGTGCCCGTCACCTGCCGTCTTTCTCATGCATGGCAGTGCCCGTCACCTGCCGTCTTTCTCATGCATGGCAGTGCCCGTCACCTGCCGTCTTTCTCATGCATGGCAGTGCCCGTCACCTGCCGTCTTTCTCATGCATGGCAGTGCCCGTCACCTCCCGTCTTTCTCATGCATGGCAGTGCCCGTCACCTGCCGTTCGCATGGATGATGTCGCTCGCTCTGCAGGCCACACAAAGGCAACCTCCCCCTCACTGCTGCATCTTCACCTCCAGAACAGGTCCACGGCAGACGTTGAAATACAATACACGTACCATAACATGAACTCCTAGAGGTTTTCTGAAAACGTCATCCTTAGGGTGTACGGACCGTTTTGCATTTTCCCCCTGTTTTCATATTATCAGACAAGGGGACTTTTGACATGGCCCTCTTAAATGGAACTCGCCCCATGAGGGAAAACTGGTAGTGAGTAATATGGTCTGAAGATAGGTAGTAGGTACGTATGCTAAAAGAATCCGGATAAAAGACCCCCCCAGTTGAAGACCAACGTAGCGTTGTACGCTAAACAGGTCGTTTGTAGTGTCAGAGTGAGGCATGAATGATTTCACTAGCAGGCATGGGGAGTACAAAAGGGGAAACCCTAAAAGGGTTGTACTCTTCAATAAGTACCCCACTACAGCCTACACAACAATGTATGCATTTTGACACACCCCCATAGGCAAAGTGGGGGATAGCAAGAACATCCAACAGTTACAAGGCCAGTCAAGCAAAGAAGAAAAACAAAGCAAAGCTCAAGGTGGATCTCAATGATGTTATGACTGAAGGATCGTAGTGGATAAGATAAGTCTATCAAGTCTAAAGGAAGACAATGAAGTCTTGGTAGTGTGTCACCGAATAGATTGTTGTTTGCAATATATTCTGTTACTCGCTAGTGTAGGTGTAGTAGGGTTAATCGAAGTACTGTAGAAGGTGAGTTTGGTGCGTGGGTAGTGACGCGAATTCAGGGACTTGCGAGGCGCAGGGTGGGACAAATTCAAGGGCGAGCCCTGGGCAATCCGAAGGGCCAATCTGAAGCCTAGCGGGCGGAGCCCAATGTGACTTACGGGAAACTGCACGGCACGGGGTAGAGACTCAAATAGGCTGGGAACTCACTGCTTAGTTCGTTCTCTTGTTTGTTTGCTCGTAATAGTGGATATAGGTTGCCGTTTGATAGCTAACTCCAGCTTAGGCGACTAAGCCACTGTGGGCAGCCATACGTGGGGGATGCAGAATCTCTCACAAACAAGAGAACCAAGATCGGGCAGAATGGACTGCCATGAGCTGCAAGGGCAGCAGACGTACTCGCGTCGGGAGTTACCACCGCCGCGAAGGATGCGCTCAAAGGAGCGGGGAAGATCGCCAGGTCGCTCGCCTAGGAGAGAGGCGGATCGGGTGGATCGGATGGCAACCAGCGACGGACGGCGCGGCGAAGGCGAGCTCGGTCTGCAGACGAGATCGGCGCCAGGACCCCAGCCGTCGAGGAGCGATCCCTGGGATCTGGCAAGAGGCCAGCGGGGCGCGGGAGTGAGGCATCAGGAGGATGCCGACGAGACGGACTCGCTGATGTTGGCAAACGAGGCCGACGGCGAGGAGACGGCGGAAGATGATCCAAGGGACGCGGGAGCAGATCGCTCGCCGGACGACATGCGCGAGGGAGGCGAGATGCACCGCGGAGAGAAACGCGAAGAGTGCGGAAAGGCGACGGGATCGAGTCGCTCGACAGACGAAGTGCGCGGGAATGGCGCGAGGCGCTGCGGGAGCGCAGATGCAGACGGATCGGACAGTGAAATGCGCGGGAATGGCGCGAGGCGCTGCGGGAGCGCAGATGCAGACGGATCGGAGGGTGAATTGCGCGGGAATGGCGCGAGGCGCTGCGGGAGCGCAGATGCAGACGGATCGGACGGTGAATTGCGCGGGAATGGCGCGAGGCGCCGCGGGGACGCGGATGCGGAGCGTTCTGCTGACGAAAGGCACGGGAGTGGCGCGAGGCGCCAGGGGAGCAGCGCGGATGCAGATCGCGCGCCAGGGGAGGTGCGCGGGAGTGGCGCGAGGCGCCGCAAGAGCAAGGAGAATGACCGCGCGACAGGGCGCATGCGTGGGGAAGACGGATCGCCGGAGCCACAGCCAGAAACTGAGAGGAGGAGGCGTATGGTGATGGGAGCTCGGCGATCGCCAGAGCCGTGGGACGAAGAAAAGGAGCTGAAATGGAGAGAGGAGGAGCAATACAGAAGGGGTGAGAGGTCGCCTGAAGGGAGGACAGAAAGGGTAAGGGAGGAACATGAGCATGGGCTGGATTGGTGCCAACGGGGTAAGAAGGAGAAGGGATCAAACTTTGAAGGAAGAGAGGGGTACAGGGGAAGGCAAGAAGGGTGTCGGAAACCTGGTGCAGGAGTAAGGGAGAAGCAGGACCTAAGCAGACAGAGGAAGAGAGGGGACAAGCAGCACATGCGACGGGAGGAGATGCACGAGTATGAAGCAGAGAGCGGGGAAGAGGAAGAGAGTGATAGGCGGGCACGCCATGGAGTGGGACAAAGGGAAGAATGCTGGGAAGAATATTTCACTGGAAGGAGAGAGGGGCAGAGGAGAAGGCAGGAAGAACGGAGAGAGTTTCCTGAGAGAGAGGACCGGCAGCAGCGGGAAAGGAGGAAGCGAGAAAGGCAATTCCAGGAATATTCGCCTGAGAGGAGGGAAAGGCGATGGGGGGAAGCAGGCGGGGAAAGAGAGGCTTACGAGGAGCGGAGAAGGAGTCCGAGTCCGAGAGGCCTTAGGAGGCCACGGCAGCAGGCAGGAAAAGGATCCAGCGAAGCCAGAGTTGCTAGAGAAGGAATATACAGGGTCTTGTATGGAACAAGCACAGGCAGCAGGGGAATGAGGGAGCACAGAGGAGAAGTCAGCCGCGCAGAGCGAGGAGCAACGGGAACCTGGGACTCAGGGAGATGGGGCACGCGGGTGCCACCACAAGTAGAGGTGCCTGTGCACTTCACGGGGAATGAAGGGACAAGCACTACTCTGAAGAATTATCTGATGCAGATTGGGAATGTCAAGTACAGGTGTGATCGGAGTGGGATGGACCCCATCGACTTCTTTTTGAGTCTGCCGAACACTTTGGGTGGGGAAGCAGAAACATTGTATCGTATGAAGATGCAAGAGTGGCTGAGGAGGGCCGAGGAGGATGGGGACGACCCTACGTCACTGTTCCTGGAGCGGCTGCGCAAGCAATTCCCAGGACATACGGCAGAGCGAATCAGGGAGTTTCAGGACTTCAAACGCAGGGAGGACGAGTCGCTGCTGACGTATTATGGGCGGCTCATGAACCTGGCCGAGGATGTGGTGTGTACTGACAGCAGCATGCTGATCAGTAAGTTCCTGGCAGGATTGGACGACGGGCTGGCCGGAGGACTGAAAATGAGAGTCTACGAGCTGGGGGCAGAAGCAACCCTGGAGGAAGTGTTTGAGCTAACAGAAAAGGTGGAGTTGGCACAGAGGCGTTATGAGGCATACCTGCCAAGGGCGGCAGAGAAGATGCGACCCACCTGGGCGGCAGCAATGACACCAGGGGCGGGAGACGGAGAGGAGCAGCAACATGAGAGAAGGACAGACATGAGAACCTGCTACAGGTGTGGACAGCCGGGACATGTGAAGTTGAATTGCAAGAACTGCGACGTGTGTGGGAAACCAGGGCACCGCCGTCAGAACTGCCCTGACGCGCCAACCTGTGGGGTGTGTGGAAAGAGGGGGCATCAGCAGAAAGACTGTTATCAGAGGATTGGGGGAGCGAGGAGGTCACAAGAGGAGATGGAAACTCAGATACGAAGGCTGCGGGCTCAGATGCAGGCTTTGGGAGGCAAGACAGAGGAAGAAGCAGGAGGACTGTACGCGAGGGAAGAGGAAGAGGAGGAAGAAGAGCAGGAGCCAGAGTACTCCTGTGCGGTGCTGCATCGCCATGAAGATATGGGGTGGCGCAGTGGGGGCAGGGACGGTAGAAGGAAGCAAGTGAGTAGGGTGGGGGCATGGGTGTGTGTGCAAGTAGCACCAGATTTGGTAGGGAAGAACGAGAAGGTGGGGGCATGGGCGGATGAACCAGAAGCGGCAGGCACGGAAGGGAAGGACGAGGAGGTGGGAGCAAGGGCAGCAGCAGAAGGGGAAGAGAAGGACGAGAAGAAGGGGGCAGGGGCGTGTGGACTGGTAGCAGCCGGCGCGGAAGGGAAGAACGAGCAGGTGGGGGCGGGAGCGTGTGTAACAGCAGCAGCGAAGGTAGAGAAAAAGGAAGTGCAGGTGGGGGCGGGAGCGTATGTAACAGCAGCAGCGAAGGTAGAGAAAAGGGAAGAGCAGGTGGGGGCGGGAGCGTGTGTAACAGCAGCAGCAAAGGTAGAGAAAAAGGAAGAGCAGGTGGGGGCGGGAGCGTGTGTAACAGCAGCAGCGAAGGTAGAGAAAAGGGAAGAGCAGGTGGGGGCGGGAGCGTGTGTAACAGCAGCAGCAAAGGTAGAGAAAAAGGAAGAGCAGGTGGGGGCGATGTAACAGCAGCAGCGAAGGTAGAGAAAAAGGAAGTGCAGGTGGGGGCGGGAGCGTATGTAACAGCAGCAGCGAAGGTAGAGAAAAAGGAAGTGCAGGTGGGGGCGGGAGCGTGTGTAACAGCAGCAGCGAAGGTAGAGAAAAAGGAAGAGCAGGTGGGGGCGGGAGCGTGTGTACCAGCAGTAGCAGAGGCGGAAGGGAAGGACGAGAAGGCGGGGGCACGGCCGTGTGTACTAAAGCCAGAGAAGCAAGTGCAGGGAAGTAGGATGGTGAAGCAGCATGTGCGGAAGCTGAGGAAAGAACCTCCACAGATGCTGGGGGCAAAAATGGTGAAAGAAGCCGTGAGAGGAGCTGAGACAGGTGTGAGCAGCATGAAAGTGGAGATGGCGTGCGACTGGGGGCAAGGAGACCTACGGGTAGGAGGATGGGAAGGTCCAGTGTGGGCCAAAGCTCAGGAGCGGGAGGAAGCAGAGAGGGAGAACAAGGAGGTGGGGACATGGGAGTGCCTGCCTGCAGGGGAAGAAGTAGGGCACACAACGGGAGATGCGATGAGTCCGGAAGGAAAAGAGGCCGTGAAGACAGTAAGGTGGAGTAAGCGAGGAATATGGGAAGCTGAGGCGATGCAGCCAGCAACACAGGTGCTGCCAGGACCAGCGGGAATGAAAGGGGCTGCGAACTGGGTGGCATGGGAGGGAGCCAAGGCAGCAGAATACCTGGACAAGGAGAAAACAGCAGCGGCGGAGGTCATGCGTACAATAGAGTTGCGAAATGCACACGTACAGGCACAAGCAGAGACTGCAGCAGGGCGACAAAAACGACAGCTACGCCAGCGGAAGCGAGACAGGAAGCCTACCTGCAGAGGGGGATACTCGGAAAGTGGTACCAGACACACAGCGAAGGGAGACGAAGGACCTGAGGCGTCCAAGAGTGCTGGTGCTGAGGAATCAGAGAAGAGAGTAGACAGGGTGCCATCTGACGAATGCTGCAGTGGTGAAAAGCAACCGGCCTCAGCGAGAGTGTCCAGTGACACGTGCACGGGAGACCCGAGCACGAGCTCTGGAGGGGGCAGGTAGTGGCTGAGGCAGAGCAGGTAAGGTATCACAGGAACAGAGCTCAGAAGAAGGGAGCGAGGGTGAGTCGGGGAAGGAGAAGGCAAGCCACGGGAAGCAACAGAGGATGATTCTCCGACAGCTGTCACCGAATAGATTGTTGTTTGCAATATATTCTGTTACTCGCTAGTGTAGGTGTAATAGGGTTAATCGAAGTACTGTAGAAGGTGAGTTTGGTGCGTGGGTAGTGACGCGAAGTGGTGACTCAGGGACTTGCGAGGCGCAGGGTGGGACAAATTCAAGGGCGAGCCCTGGGCAATCCGAAGGGCCAATCTGAAGCCTAGCGGGCGGAGCCCAATGTGACTTACGGGAAACTGCACGGCACGGGGTAGAGACTCAAATAGGCTGGGAACTCACTGCTTAGTTCGTTCTCTTGTTTGTTTGCTCGTAATAGTGGATATAGGTTGCCGTTTGATAGCTAACTCCAGCTTAGGCGACTAAGCCACTGTGGGCAGCCATACGTGGGGGATGCAGAATCTCTCACAGGTAAGGTAGCGGCTGAGGCAGAGCAGGTAAGGTATCACAGGAACAGAGCTCAGAAGAAGGGAGCGAGGGTGAGTCGGGGAAGGAGAAGGCAAGCCACGGGAAGCAACAGAGGATGATTCTCCGACAAGTGACCTTGTCAATAAGTTGAAAGAGAACAAGATCATTATAAGATTGAAGTACAGGGTTTAAATAGCAAACTAGCTAGCCATGTGCTCTGAGGGGTACATTCCCTTATTAACTGTATTACATAACTACAGTAACCACGACTATTGCTATTCTCGACAGTTACCATGTCGTGCGATCAACTATATCCTGTGCGGGAGCGTCTGTTGTCAATATCTCCCGCGTGGTCTGCGTCTACGTAGCCATGCAGCCGCAAGGTGGTGGTGAGGTTGGCTTTGTAGGTGAGTCTGACGTCAAGAGTTGAGACGAAGTATTGAAGTGCTCGGCGTAGATCCAGTAGATTCTCCCCTTTAGGTCGCTTCATGTACTGAGCGAGCTGGCTTGCGACATAGGAGAGATCAGGCCAGCACGTAACGGCGGCGAATAGGAGACACCCTAGCTGCTGCTGGTAGAGCCGATGGTTCTCGAGGGAGAGTGGTATGGTGTCCGGTTTGTGGTTAGGGGGAGGAGTGCGAAAGGGGGTAGAGAGGCTGATAGGTGCTATGGCGAATTTCTTTGCGAGCGTTTCAGCGTATTTGGCAGCGGAGAGATGAATAGTTGTGGCGGACTGGGTGATGTTGAGACCCAGGAACTGTGTGACGTTGTGGTTGATGGTAACCTCCAGCTTCTCTTTGATGTCTGCTTCAAACTGGTCCAACAGCTCTATGTTGTCGCCGGTGTAAAGTAGATCATCGACGTAGGCGATGAGGATAATGAATTTGCCATGCGACTCCTTCCGGTACATCCCGAGGTCGTCTGGCAGCTGTTTGAATCCAAGCTCTGTGAGAACGGTGTGCAGATACTGCTGCCACAGGCGAGGTGCTTGCTTGATCCCATAAAGGGATTTCTGAAGTAGGCAGACAGCGCCGTCGTTTTTCTCGAAGGCATGCGGTTGTTCGACGAAGATGATGGCGTCGATCGGAGCGTAGAGGAATGCACTGCCGACGTCGATCTGACGGAGCGGACGCTGTTTGACGGCTGCGATGCAGATGAGGATGCGTACTGAGGTGTGCCGTCCGACAGGTGCGTAGGTAAGGTCAAAGTCCACCATGTGAGTTTGCTCGAAGCCGCGCACCACCCATCTTACCTTGTATTTGTCAATAGAGCCATCCGCGAGTGTTTTGATGCGGAAGACCCATTTTCCGCTGAGAAAATTTCTCCCCTTCGCTGACGTTTGAAAAACCAGCTTCCATGTTCCGCGGTTCTTGAGTGCCGCGACTTCCTTGGCCATGGCTGCCTTCCATTTCTTACTGTCGAGGCCGGATAAAGCTTGGCGAACAGTGGTGGGCTCCTTGGGGGAGTCGTGGCGAACAACGACTGCGAGTCCGAGAATGCGGAGACCAGTTTCGTTGGTCTTTTCGTAGTGCAGACGATTGTAGTTTACTTCGACTACATCGTCGTCGCTTTCGTTGCCGAGGCGGAGGGTGTCTTGCGAGGTGTTTGGTGGTGGTAACTCGGCATCTGGGGATCGGCGTGCCTCGCTGTTGAAGTTTTGAGCTTCGCGAGTCATATTGTTAGGATCGAATTGATGTACAGGTATGAAGGTTGGAGTCTGGAATGGGCTTGTAAGGGGGATGTTGGGTGCGCTGTCAAATTGAGTGACTGCTGCTGCGTCGGCGTCCTCTGCCAGGTCAGCTTCATCGTGTGGAGTTGCGAAGCTGCAGTGTCCCTTGAAAACCCTTTCCGGTGCCCTGTCAGCTTCGCGGTGTTCATTGAACAGTGGCAGAGTCAGCTTCTCATAGACGATGAAGTCATGTGATTTCGTCATTTCGTATGTCGTGTAGTCCAGCACGATCCACGCCTTGTATTCTTTTTCGATTCCGAGGCCAATTGAACGGTCCTTGCTGTGTGGGGCCTCTACTGTACTATGCAGCCGAACACCCGAAGTAGACGCGTGTTCGCCTTTCTGCCCGTCCAAGCCCTGTATGGAGAGTTGTTGTTCTCGAGGCTTCGGGAGGACAGCAAGTTGTGCAGTCAGACAGCGTGGTTCATCGCAAACGGCCAATACTTGGTTGGGATGTCCGACTGCTTCATCAGGGCCCTCAACCTTGTAGCAAGGCTCCTGTTTGTCCGTTCTGCTACTCCTTGCTGCTCGTGAGCGTAGGGCAGAGACACCAAGTGTTCAATCCCTTTCTGCTTGAAGAGCTCCGTGAACTCGGTCGAGAAGAACTCTAGGGCTCCGTCTGTCTGGTAACTTTTCAGCTTCAATCCTGATTGTCATTCAGCCCGCTTCATCCATGCGATGAAACACTCGAAGGCCAAGGAGCGACAGTCGGTGTTGACGGCCCAAACGTATCGGGTGCTTGCGTCGATGAAGGTAAGCATGTAGATTTCGCCGTCGAGCCCTTCCTGGCTGAGGTTCATAAAGTCGCTGTAGACTTTGTCGAGCGGCTTGTAGCGTTCGTAGCCGGGGGGTAAGTCGGGAAAAGGTTTGTGAGCGAGCGATGCGGCTGGGCAAACGGTGCATGGTGGGTCTTCTGACTTCACTGTGAGGGAGCCTCCACGAGGAAGAAGCAGTGCTCCATCGTCGAAGACGCCAGCATGGAGAGAGTTTTTTAGCGTGGCGTGTGAGGGGTGGCCGAGCCGCTGATGCCAGGTTTCCGGTTCCGCACGGTAGCCGATATCTTCTCATAATATTTATTCCTCTCTGCTGCATCGTTCTGCTCCTTTCCAGTTCCTGTGTCGGTGGTGGCGTCGGTGTCCGCTGCGAAGGCCCGGATGAAATCCCATTCCAGAAGCGCGCGGGGAATTCCGATGATGTCTTTGGTGTCGCCGGCGCAAACTTGGTCGCCGGTGACAAGCAAGTACTGAGATGGTGGTGCCTTGGGCCAGTCGGCGACGGGGAGTCCCTTCATGGGGATTCGGAACTAACTGCACTTTGCGCCGATGACCTCAATCTGCTGTGGTCCGTGTTCTGGCGGCGGCGGCTCCTCGGTAGGTTCCGGTAATTCCGCTGCTCCCTCGAAGAATTCATAAGTTACTTCTTCTTCTGACTCCTCTTGCATTGGTTATGGTGTGTTAGGAGCGTATTGGTCTGGAAGAGAAGGTCCGCCCCACCTGGTGCCACGTGTTGCCCAGTACGGATCAATTGCCGCGACATCTGCAGGAGGGAGTCCCAGTGCTTCGGGATAGGCGGGGGCTGGTTGTCCTCATCCGCCTTCAGTTAAAGTTCCCCAGCCACCTCCGGTTCCCCAGCCACCTCCGGTTCCCCAGTCACCTCAGGTGGCAGCGCCGGCCTCTATCGTAGCA